ATTAAGAATGTTCTGGATGGGTTAATTAGTGTGGTGACTATTATTAAGCAAACTGCTTGTTAGTATATGTCTATTTGATCTTGGTATTGATGTGAAGTAATTGACCATAGAGCTACATATAGAAAAGCTGGAATAAAGTTTTTTGATTTCTATTATGGCAATAAATTGTTTATATAAAACATGTCTATGAAAATATGGGTTTCATGTCACACACAGAGAATCAGAGTAGACTGTGTGGGATGGTAGTTGAGGATCGTTTTGTTTTGTTTTGTTTTTTAGAAATAGTAATACATTTGTCCAGCTTGCTTCAAGATCAGCTCTGCTGAAACAAAGTAGTAAAAAATTATTACTGCAGAATATATGAAAACTGAAGTAATTTTAGCTTCCCTCACCTAAAGGACGTATTTCCTTTTAGATCTAGCTAATTGCCTAAATACTTCTTTGGGTAACAATCACTCTATATAAAAGACTATTAGAGAAAAATATGAGAAGATATTGTAAACAAGGAAAGCATAGCACGTAACCACCTTCTTTCAAGTACTGGATTATCATCTATATTATTTTTGGTATTTTGTCCAGTTCTATTATTAAGTTTCCCTAGCTATAGCATTTCCATAGGGAATTTATTCCATGAGCTAATAAATTACACCGTCAGGGAGTTTTTCTGGAAATTCAGCTTAAATTTTCCCATTCTTAATTTCATCTCATTACTCCTAGTTATACCCCCTTGTACCTGGCTAAATAATTATTCTCTTTCCTTGGAGATTCCTATTATGTACCCCTCTAGTTGTCACTTAACCAGGCTATTCATATTTAGCTCCTTTAATCTGTCCTCATAAATCAATTCTTCCATTGCCTTAATCATTATTATTGCTCTTCTTAGAACTCTCTAATTTTCAAACATATATAGTTATCAGGTGCCTCAGATGAAATCAGCATTTGCACAGTATTCTGCTCCCACAGGCTTGGTCTCTCCCTGTCCTGTACATCACGTTCCATAACCAAGCAGCATCAGTTAGTTTGCTGGTCCAATCAGCCCAGACTCATCTTGTCAAACTCCAGGAAATCTACATAGTCTTTTCCACATGTCCTACTGCTTTCAGGTTTATTTTATTTTGTCAATTTCATAATATTAATAAGCTGAGTTTTGGGTTTCTGTCCATATTGATATTCTGCATCTTCCCATGTCCTTATTCACCACCACCTATCTAGTCAGTCATCCGCAACCTGGGTTAAGGTGGGATTCTGTTCATCCTTGAGAACATTTAGGAAATGTATTGCAAAAAAGCAGGCCTAGCACCTTGTCCACAGCTAGATTCCTTGTCAGTGACCAGTTCCCGTTGCTTACAAACCTTTAGCCAATCTCCCATCTCTTTTAATTTGCAATTTTGCTCACATGCTGGCCAATATAAAGGGATTTTATGAGCAAGATGGGTCATGATACTGTTTTCTAAAATGAAGATATGTTGTTTCAATGCCCATTGATTTGTGTGTGTGTGTGTGTGTGTGTGTGTGTGTGTGTGTGTGTGTGTGTGAATCCTTCGTGCACCAAGTTTGTAATTCTGTTAAAATCCTTTTTAAGCTTGCCTGGTGTTCTTTATCTGACATAAACAAATAGGTTACTTCGCTTGCGCTATTGTTGATTTCCACATATGTACAGATGTTCCTTCTCTTACCATTTGTTCCATTTGTTTAGGAGAAGTTGAGGATATTGTCATAGTCATGTTTTTTCTTTTAGTGGTGATCGATGGGAACTTTCCTATTGATTTTTAGTTCCTTAGAATCTCCTCAATATTTTGAATTTATTTCAGGAAGAAGGTTGGTTACCTCCCTTCATGATTTTGGACCTATGAGATCTGAAACTCTAATCTGTATATGCCCAAGTTTCTTTCCATTTTTTAAAAAATAAACTCTCTAATTTTTTATTAGAGCAGTTCTAATAAGACTGAGGTTGTGACCACTGAGTTTTTAAAGGTCTGTAGATGAGAAGAAACATTTTTAGTACAGCATTCATTATAATTCAATAAATTTCCTTAACCTAATAATCTAAAGAGAGATATTAAATTCAATGTTCGTTTTTTAAATGGAAGTATAATGGATTTACAATGCTGTGTTAGTTTCAGGTGTACAGCAAAGTGACTCAGTTTTTTTTAGTATTTCATATATATATATTCTTTTTCAGATCCTTTTCCCTTCTTTTTCCATTTTAAATCAAGAATTAATGTGTTATTTTATAAGGGCATACCAAGGAGGCTAGCCCCATTCTTCGTGTTTTATCTGTCCATATGCAATATCTACTTCATCCACTTATGACAGGGCACGGGTGTGGGGGGAGGTGGCTTATATAGTAAGGTGATTTTTCTCAAAAGGCCTCACGAAACAAGCACAGAGCCCCCCACATCACGCCTTTTGCTTCTAGAATGTACATGGCATACTACAGCCAGACTGGATTTCCAGTTCGCAGCAGAACCCACACTGTTGCTTAGCCTTGTTCACCCGCCCATTGGTTCAGAACTAGCGATCGCCCATCCCCCTCTCCACGGCGACCTTCTGACTCAGGTCACTTCTTGAGCACCATCTCTCCTCGCCTCACTTGAAATACATGGCCTCGTCCAAGGCTTTGGGGACGCACTGGATTCCGCACCTGCCACCTGAAACGGTTCTTTTCAATTCCGTCTCTCTCTTCTTCTTCCCTCTCAGCTTTGTAAGGAAGCACGGAGTGTGTTCTCTTGAATAAGGCCCTACTTCCCCTGCAGCAAGCATCCTGCCATTATCACACCTTATGATGTTTTTCTACTTCCATTTTGTTGGGGGTATTTTTGTGGTACGTGGGCCTCTCACTGTTGTGGCCTCTCCTGTTGCGGAGCACAGGCTCCAGACGCGCAGGCTCAGCGGCCATGGCTCACGGGCCCAGCCACTCCACGGCATGTGGGATCCTCCCGGACCGGGGCACGAACCCGTGTCCCCTGCATTGGCAGGCGGACTCTCAACCACTGCACCTCCAGGGAAGCCCCTCTACTTCCATTTTCTAAGACTTCTCTGTTTCCTCAGGATCCTGCTCCCTTCCCTAGCAAGTATCCCCAAGCGAGCACCCCTGTGGACATGCACCCCATTAAAGAAAACTTGACCTTGCCTTCTCCTTTCTTCTCTTTGTCCCCCTCTCTCCCTAACCAGTGTCTGGTTTCTCTCTGCCCTCACCCCACACGAACCGCCCTGGCAGTAGCCAGTGATCTACGGTATAACGAGGCCAAAATCGCCCTGTCGTTTCTGCTGCTGTAACACCTCTACAGTGTTTCACACCCTTTTTTTTTTTTTTTAACAGTTTTAAGAACTCTTGGTTCTTTTTCCTACCCGTGCTTTAGGAGCTCTTAATTTACCTCAGTAGTGTGATATTACTCTCAGATTCCCTTTCAGCTCTTCCAAATGTTCCTCATTGCTTTCCTTGGTTCTGTGGTTCTTCTTCCTCACCTACCTCTTAAATGCATGTACTCTCCATTTCTTCACATACTCCACAATCCAGGTAAGGGGCCGAGTCTCTGCATGGGGCTCAGGGCCTCTGAGAACACCCTTGTTGTCCGGCCCCAGCCTGCCTCTCTATACCTCAGATCCCGGGACTCAGACTCTGCCGTGCATCTTATTCCCTGAAGAGTTCATGCTCTTTCACACCCTTTTCCTTTGATCACACTGTTCCCTCCATTCAAAACTTCCCCCTCTCTGCCTTTCAGAATCAGTCAAATAAAACCCTCTTTTAGCCTTTACTTATCCCCAAGTCAGAATTAATCTCTAGTTCTCAGTTTTAAAAGTTAGAATGTCCATTCTTGATATACTGTGTTCCGCCACAGGTTCCTTTGTTGTTCTCAAGTCTGTCTCCCACTCTGTCTACTGGTTTGCTCCCTAGTACTTGGTGAATTCCTTGGTTGCATTTTATGTGTTTGCTTCTATCGACAAGTAGCAGATATCAAACTCTATGACAAAGCATTATGGGAAGAAAGGGGTGAGATGGTAATGAAAAAAATATAAAAAGATACTTCAAGAAATATTAGCAAGGGACCAAGCTATGTGATCCTTATAAAACCTTAGACCATTTGGGAGCCAATAAGAAGATGAAGTCCAACAGATGTGGTTTTGGATTAGCTGCTGACCTAATAGTTGGGCTTCCCTGGTGGCACAGTGGTTAAGAATCTGCCTACCGATGCAAGGGACACGGGTTCAAACCCTGGCCCGGGAAGATCCCACATGCCGCGGAGCAACTAAGCCCGTGTGCCACAACTACTGAGCCTGCGCTCTAGAGCCCACAAGCCACAACTGCTGAGTCCATGTGCCACAACTACTGAAGCCCGTGTGCCTAGAGCCTGTGCTCTGCAACAAGAGAAGCCACGACAATGAGAAGCCTGCACACCACAACGAAGAGTAGCCCCCGCTCGCTGCAACTAGAGAAAGCCCATGCACAGCAACGAAGACCCAACACAGCCAAAACTAAAAATAAATAAATTTTTTTTTAAAAAAAAGAAATATTAGCAAAGTCAACTTAATAAAAACGTGTACAAGTGCCCGGGAATACAGAACAGTCATGTGAGCAGAAATACCCGGTGTTAATTCAGGAAGTTTCAAGCATTTTTGTAGGTTAATGAGCAAAAGTATGTTTTGAAAATAAACACTGGGCCATGTCATGACTGGAAAACATAGAACTCCAGAAAGACAAGTAAAGAAAACGCTAAACCATCGCTCTACCCTGATTTTTTATGGTATGTGCAGTGCAGATTTTTATAGCCACAGAAACTCTTTGGAAACCAAAGACAATCTGGTCTAATTTCAAACTTTTGAACTTTCTCTTGGTGACTACTGCTTTTTGTGCTCTTCCTAGAATTTTTGTTATATCTTTAGTTTTTTTTTTTTTCCTCAGTTTTTATACATCATCATCATGTGCTTACAGAAAGGTAAAGAGCAAATTTTAAATAGTATTTTCACTAAACGTATACTGCATTTTCTTTTTGTAACAG